AAAAGTATGGACAACAAAGCTTATCGAAAGAGTATCCACAAATAGTCAAGACTCAGTCAGTTTTCTCTCAGGATTGATTAAAAGAGAACTATTAAGAGAAGTAGAAAAATTCGAATGTGGAGGAAAAAAGATAGAAACAGTCACCAGAAAATGGATATTCTGTTGTCAAAAGAAGATCTTGAATTACTTTAGGAAAGAAGTGTGGAACAAATGATGTGAACTAGTAATAAAATGGGAAAAAGCTCAAGGAATTTTCTGAAAAGATAAAATAAGATGGTCCATGAAATCTTATTCAACAAGAAAAATGAAAAAGTCAAGAGAAGAAAGAAAGAAAATGGAAGAAGAATGTTCAGAAAAAGGTTTAACAAGAATAATAATGATGGGAGTTAAAAGTGAAATGAAATGGTTGGGTTTTAGGCTCGGTCAGAACTTTGACCAGTGATTTGTAGTAGTGACTGCAGGCAATGATGTTCATAATAGAAGGGTATTCACCCAAACTATAAACAGAGTGACAAATCACTCCCAAAGTTGCACTTAGAGTTTGACAATAAACTAAGATATGTGAGTGAGTTAGTGTTTTAACTTTAGTGACACTGTAAATAGTATAGCCTACATTATATTTAATAAAGTACATATAACTAACCTGACAACAGGTTATAATTAAAAAAAAAAATAAAAATTGTATTATTTAAAAACTTAAAATTAAATTAGAATAAATAAATTTTAAGAAAATTATAAAGTAAAAATTTTAAAAAGATACAAATAGCTAATAAATAAAAAAATAAAATATTTTATTATAAAAAACTTATAATTTAAAATAAAAAAATTTTCCAGTATTTTATATTTGATTCTTTTTCTTAAAAACTTTATTATTATTATTAATAAAAGTATTTATCTGATTTTTTTTTTTTTTAATTTTAAACTGCAACTAGTACCAGATACAAGTTGTTTATTGATAATTAAATCTTAAATATAATATCAATCATCTTATATATATATATGTAGATTAATGATAACCTACCACAGCTTGTCCTAGGCAGACCTGCTTGAAACTTCTCAAGTGAAAGGGTACATTTGTCTAGAGACCGGATGGTTGATAACAGTTATAAATGGTGATGTTGATATAATTAGCTTATTCTATTAATAATAGACTAAGCTTGTTATGCTAACTTATACACTAGTGTTAAATTCTTAAGGATTGTTTTAATCACCTAGATACCTTGATACTTTTCACTTAAACCTCAGAAGGAATTTCTATCTTTTTTGTTACCACCTCACCTGCAGCATCACAGACAAGTTCTATTTGACAGGTTCTTCATTTAGCAAGCACTGGATTGGGGTATTCCAAGTTAGGATGGTTAGATTTCAGAGTTTGCTAGTACAGTTTGAGGTAAAGAATATTTAGATAATTGTCACAGTTCTAGAAGTGGAGTTTCAAAGTCTGCTAATACAGTTTGGGATTAATGATGTGTTCAGACGATTATCTCGGTCCTAAAAGTGGGATCTTGAAGTTTGTTTCCTGTCCAGTTCAGGGAGGATTAGGACAGGTGTAATTTGTGTAACCAGATCAGAGGCCTTTTTTTATGCAATTCTCGTGATAGATCTTTTTCAGTCTGATGATTAATAGGGAGGCCAGAAGTCCTATCTTCATGCAACCAGATTATTTTTTTCATATAGTCCTTATGTGATATTGAACTCTGGATCTTGTGATTATAACCTAGGAGCACTACTATTGTGCTATATATCCACAGATCTTATTTATCTGATTTTTTTTAATTGTTAAAAGTTAAGCTTATAGTTAAAGAAAATTATAAATAAAAAAAATTGGAAATAATTTTTAAAAATATTCTTTATATAGATTTTAAAAAAGTATTAAGATTTTATTAATTAAAAAATTCAAAAACTTTAAGTAACCATTTTTTTATATATAATTAAAAATTTAACAAAATAATAATAATAATAATTTTTTTATAACCTGCAATTATATTATATGACCTAATTATTATTAAAAAGTTTATATAACTATTTATAATATTATAGATTTTTTATATAATGATTAATTTATTATTATATTAAGTACTTTAAGTTAAATCTAAAAAATAATATTTTATTTTTTTAAAAAATTGATATAAATTTTTATTAAATTTATTAATAATAGTTTTTTAATATAAATTGTTTGAAAACTATAAATTATTAAATTAAGAGAAAGAAAAAAAATTAGAAAAGAGAATAATTTAAGGTTTTATTAAAAAATTTTAGAAAAAAAGCAATTTTTCTCTTAAAAGAATCTGTTTAATTAAAATAGTTTTCTTATTTCATTTGAACCTTGGAAGAAATCTTTTTTATTATTATCTATAGTATTAGATGAATAAATGCAACAGGTCCTTTATTTAAGCAAATATTGGATTGAAATATCTTAAGAAAAATATTTAAATTTTAACTTTTTTTTATTAAAGTTTTGTTATTACTTAAGAAACTTAAAAAAAAATAGAGGTTTGTAATTTATATTACTTGTCTCTTGATCTTTTGATATCATAAATATTTTCTAAGAGACTTAGGCTTTTAAAAAATAAAACTTTTGAAATATTCTTTTTATTTATCAATAATATTATTGAGATACAGTATATGAAAGTAATTAATAAAAGCTTGTTTATATTTCAAAAATTAATATGTTTCATATTAGTTAATTATTTTTAATAAAAATTTGTATTACTCAAATTCAGAATTAAACTGAGATAAACAAAAATTTTTACTTAAAATATTAAAAAGATTTTTAAATACTTAATAATTGTTTTTTTTTTTTTTGAAAACTTTTTTGTCATTGATATTAAAGTTATTACTTGATTTTTTTTTTGTTATAAAAAGTCCAATTTTGAAAAAATAGTTTATAAATAAGAAAAAGAAGATAGAAATAATTCTTGAAATTATATTTCAAATTGTTTTAATAAAATATTTAGATTTATCTACTTTTAAATATATAATTTATTGATTTTTTAATTATATATAATAAAGATAGATTTTTTTGCAATAGTAATCTGCAGGCAATAATATTAGAAGTTGAAAGAGTATTTACTTAAACTCTTAATGGAGCAATAAATTACTTTTATAGTTGCACTTAGAAAGATAAAACAACCAAGATAAGTGAGTTAATTAAAGAATTAGCTTTAATGTCTCATGTTATATATATAGTTTACAAATGTTTAATAAAACATATGTAACTAGCATGACAAAGGGCAAAAAATAAAAAATAAAAAATAAAAATGATAGATTTTAAAAGTTTTAGAATTTATTGATCAATAAAGTTTTATTATTATTTTTAAAACTACTTAAAAATAGTTTTAAGAGTTATTATTATACTTTTTTTTTTGTTTATAAAATTTTTAAGTTAAAATTTAACTTTTGATAATTAAGAAAAGTCAAGTAACACTTTTATTATCAATTATAAAAAAGTTTTTAAGAAATAAAGAATTAGTTATAAAGTATTTGAAGATATTTTTATATTTAAAATATTTTATAAAGACTGATTATAATAAAAATACTTATTTATTTTTTATTGATTATCTATATATTCTTAAAACTTTTATTTTTATACTTTTTAAAGAAATTTTATTCATTCTAATTTGATCCTAAATTTTTAAGTAGTATAATATTTATCAAAAATAATTGATTTATATAAAATATATTGATTTTTAAAATGCAAACTCTTATTGATTATATTTATGTATTCTAATAATATTATTAATAATAATAAAAAAAGGATTTTTGAAGACATATTTCTTTACATAAATAAGTTTTTTGAAAAATAATTACAATATTAAAAGGCAAATAATAAGTAATATAAATAACTGATTTTTATCTCTCCTTAAGTTTTTTAAAAAATAAAAAAAATTTATTTCAAGCTTTTATTTTATTAAGCAAAATTTTTAAAAAGTTTTTTTCATCATAACCATATAAACTCTTCTAATATAATATTAGTATTAGTAATTATAATAAGCATATTTATATATTAGTAAAAAAAAATAAGTTTTTCAAATATTCTTTTTGAAATATTATTATTAAAAAATAATCAAGTTCCTCAAATATTGCAAAGCTATAAAATATCCTAATTGGGTGAATTCCTATTAAGAGAAAATTATTAAATAAATTAAAAATCTTTTAATGAAACTTTAAATTGTTCTCTTTTTCTTTTTCTTCTATTATACTTTGAAAAATTATCATTTTTTGGAATAATTGATATTGATAAACTGTTAATGATGATCCTAATAAATAAAGATAAATACCAATCTATCAGAAAGTGAAATATTGTTCCTTAAATCTGTCTTAGAGTACCTAGTTGAAACTTAATTCGAATTAACTTAATAGGCTTATATTTTTTAAGTAATGTAGTTCAACTAATAATGTACAATGACGAGTTAGTCGTCATGTGAAAGCCTGTAACTTATTAGATATTTACTTAATATCTCAATAAAGACATACCATGACGGCATGATTGCGGGTTAAAAAATAATAATAATATATTTTCAAATTTATTTTTCACAATTTAAATTTTACAAAAAAAAATAGATGACTAAAGTATCGAACAATTCTATACGAACCAGATAAAGTGTTTTAAATAAACAAATACTTTATATTATAGTAATTTTTAAGATGCATTATATAAATGGAGAATAAAAATAAAAATAATAAAAATTAAATTCGGAACAAAAATAGCCTGATGATGAGTGAATAAGTCTGGGCGAGTGCTTTAGAGCTCTATAATGTGAATATTTCATTCGATTTATTGATATATAAAAAAAGAGCCTAAAGTCAAATTCATGAAACATAAGGTTTAGCAAACAAAACGGAAATTTATAATTTAAGATGAAAGTGGCGTGAATAAAAAAAAATTGTTGCAATCACCACTTTTCTTAATTTTTTTTTTTTTTTTTAATGCATGCATTACTATATTGGCTACGAAACATTCTTAGAAATGTTACTTAGTCATCATCATTTTGACGAACTCCTCATAATTAATTTGACCGTCGCCGTCAACATCGGCCTCACGAATCTATATTTGAGCATAAAGTCACATGAATATATTTACACTTAAAAATTTCTAATGCAAACAATGAAACAATAAAATTCACCATTTCGTCGACTTCCTCGTCAGTAAGCTTTTCACCGAGATTAGTCATGACATGTCTTAGTTCAGCCGCTGAAATAAAACCATTACCGTCTTTATCAAAAACTTTGAAAGCCTCTTTTATCTCTTCTTCGGAATCAGTATCTTTCATTTTACGGGCCATCATAGTCAAAAATTCAGGAAAATCGATTGTGCCATTGCCATCGGCATCGACTTCGTTGATCATATCTTGCAATTCTGCCTCAGTGGGATTTTGACCAAGAGACCGCATAACAGTACCAAGTTCTTTGGTTGTGATGGTACCATCGTTATCTTTATCGAATAACGAGAATGCTTCTTTAAACTCAGCAATTTGTTCTTCGGTTAATTGATCCTAAACATTAAAAAGATGCGTCCAGATTATTATAATTGCTAAACAAGACGTCGGAATATTCTTTTCGGAAGAGATAAATGAAAGTCTTTGTTCTAAAATTTTTTATAAAGTTCTCTCGTTACATAATATTTCGAAAAATGAAGACTCAGACGTAAAAGGGGTCAAAAACATATTGAGCACAATTTATAAGATGGCAGCAGAGTATTAAATGTTCATCTCATTCTTTCTGAACGATTCAAAACTTACCATATTAAAATTTGGAAAGGCTGAAAGCTAGAAAAAGAGTTGAAGGGAGTTCCTGAACTTGACACAGTGGTGTGGAACCCTTTTTAGATGCGGCGAGTGAATTTGTTAGCCAATCGAATCACAAATCATTGGAAATTCGAGGTTTCGTCAGCGCACATTTGCAATACATTTGAGTAACAATTGGCACAGTGACTCTACTTTTATCTAGCGTTGATCGCGTTGATCGTTCCTTTTTTATACTGTTATAAGACGTCAAGCCTCACAAATGATAACAATTTAAGATGTTTTGGTATCATCGTATCATGTTGATGTATCTGATCTTCAAAATAATTTTTCTGTACGATGGTCAAATCCGAATCAACTAGGCATATCGCGGTCACCATCTATAAGGATATAATATCTATCCGTTCGAAGGTGCATATTATGATTTTATCGCTATACTCCTTATGCTCCTAATGGCAAATCATATATAACGATCTAATCAAATTTGATTAAACTATTTTTAGATATTTATTAATTTTTTTTTTTAATTAATAAAATTATAAATATAATTATATTTTAATTTTATTATTAAAATATATTAAAATACAATATAATATACTGTGTAATATATAATTTTTATTATTAAAATATATTAAAATACAATACTGTATATAAAAATATACAGTAATTAAAATTCTTTTTACAATTCTTTAACTATATATAAAAAAAACATAATTCTTTTTACTAAATTTTCCAATTATATTTGTTTAAAAGTCTTTTTATTTTTTGATTAATATTTTTTTTAAAACAATTTGAAGAGTATTTTCAAGAATTATTTTTATCTTTTTTTTCTTGTTTACAAATTTCTTTGATCAAAATCTTAACCTTTAATAATTAAAAATATCAAATAAACATCATTATTATTAATAATAATAAAGTTTTTAAAGAAAAAAATATTAATATTTTTTATAAGAATTTTTTTAAAACTTTTATCTTCTAGTTTTTCTTCTTTTAGTAATAGTTCTTTTTTTGTTAAGGATATAGTTTTCTAACCTAAAAAAATTAAAGATCTTTTTATCTTATCTTTTCTATCAATCCTTGAGTTTGTTTTTATTTAATTATCTTTTCTTATCTTATATTTCAAAATTTTTTTAAAACTTAATTGTATACTCTTTTTTGTATATTTATTATTTATTTTCTAATTCTTTTTCTATATATTTTTTATAATATTTTGGATTTGCCATTTCTAAAATGAGGTTCTTTCTTATAAGGTTAATATAAAAACTAAAAGTATTATAATTAATTATAGATATCTATTTCACTAGTCTAAAAATTCATTATCAAGTTTCCTTAATTTTTCCTGATCTTCAATATTTAATATATTATTATTTTTTAACATTTCTTCTTTTTTCTTGTAAAAGTTCTTTAAAATTTTCAAGAGTTTTATTTATTCTTTTATTTCATATTTTTTGAAATTAGTTCTTATAGATAGAACATTCTAACAAATATTTTATTTTTTTTTTTATTCTATTGATTATATACAATATATTTAATTTGATTATAAAGATCAAATTTTCTTTAACCAATTTACATAAAGTTGATAACTAATTATTGATCAATTTAATAAGAAGATTTTTTTATTGAATGTTTTAAAAGATATATTTTATATATAATTATCTTTTATTTTTTTCTACACTAAATTTCATATATGAATTATTGTTTAAAATCTTTTTTTTCTATTCAATTTTATTGGGTTTTTGATAAACCACCTAATTTAATTATCTAAAGTCTTGTTTTGTCATTTAATCTTTGTGATAATCTTATAGAAGTTAAGATTTCTTTATTCAATTGATAAAAGTTTTAGGATTTTTTTGACTAAGACATTTGTTTTTTATTTTAAGAATTATTGAAATATACTTTAACTTTAATAAGCTTTAAGTTATAATAGAATATAATAATAATTTAGATATAATGATATCTTTATACAGTATTAAGAATAACAAATATTTTTAAGCAAAAGAGTCAAAATAAATTAATAAAAATAAATAACAAAGAGAATAAAATTTCTAAAAGAGTAATAAGAATAGGCACATATAATTCAGAGATATTACAGATAAGATAAATCAATAGAGTCTTATTGAGGAAATATAAGAATAAAAAATAATATATTAGGATTATATAAAACAAAATTAATTTAAACCAATGTACAATAGGATTTCAATAATCAAAAAGTCATAAGTATTTTTATAGTACTAATAATAAAATACCATTCAGAATAAAAGTTATTATTTTAGTCAGAAAAGATCTAGAGAAAAAAATAATATCAATAGAAAAAAAAGATAAATACATAGTTATTGTTAACCTACTTATAAAACAAAAAAAAACTATCTACAGTAATGACCTGTAAGCAATGATTTTATTAATTAGAGGAATAATCCAAATTAGTAAAGGAGCAAAATATTATTCCCTAGGTTGTATTTAGAGAAATAGTTTTTCAACGACAAGTAAGTCAGTATATGAAAGTCACAATAATTTGTAAATATCTAGAATATATACAATAAAGACATACCATGCTAACCTGACTGTGGGTTAAAAAAAAAATAAAAAAAAAAATAAAACAAAAAAAAACTCTATATTATACAAATCTATATTCTATTTGATAAAAAAAGAAGCAAAAAAGTATAAGAGAAATTAATAAGCTTCATTAAAAAAAAGTGAACAAGATTATCTTACAATTGTGATAAAAAACTTCAATATAGCTTACAATCTATCAAAAGATAGACAATTTTCCTTCAAAGTTATATCTAGACTATTATTATATCTAGAAATTTCTTTGTTCAACTTTCTGAATAAATAAGAATTTATAGACATACAAGTCATATGGAAAAGTAGAAACAAAACTTTTATAAGATAGAACTCAACAAGTAACAGTAAAATAGATTATATAGTATCTAGATATCATATAATCTAGTAAGTTATTTTTTACTTTGATTTCACAATAAAGATTTAAAAATTATCACAGAAAGTAATTATCTATACTTGTAATCATTCTATATAACAAAAACTTTTTACAAGAAACGAAATCAATAAACATTCTTTAAATACTTAAAAATAAATAGAAATAAATAGATTATTTTTTTTACAATAATAAATCAATCAAAAAGTCAAAATTACAAATTTAGAACAATATTTAAACCTTTGTTTTAGAAAAAATCTAATTAAGAGAAAAGAAAAATTCAAATAAATAGATTCTAAAAAATCTTTAAAAAATTACTATACAAAACAACTTTCAATAAACTTGCAATTAAAAACATAATTTTAAATAAAAAATAAAAATATAAGCATAACTTCAAAGTTTGTTAAATATAAAAAAGCTTTATAACTAAAAGAACTTTTTAACAAGGTAAAAATATCAAAAGATATAATCAATCTATAGATCTTTAGCTTGACTATAGAAAAATATAATAATATTTTCAAGCCCAACCACCAGATTAAAAATATTTATATTTAATACAATATCTCCAATATGCCTTAAAGAACTTTAAAAATAGATATTTATGATATAATAAAAAAGGGATAAAATTTATATATCAAAGATTGTAACTAGGATAAAAATATAAGAACATATGACATAATCTAAAAAGAATAGTCAACTTTCTAACAAATCAAGTTATAAGTAAGATTGTACTTGATAGGATCAAAATTAAAAAAAAATAATACTGAATATATCATAATCAAAAAAGTGAAATCAAAAAAAAATTAGAAGATATTATACAAAGATATTCAGAAAAAGAAATACCAGTTATAATAATTTACTAAAGAATTGAAAAAAAATATATAGACTCAAAAAATTTAGATAAGAAGTTAATATAAAGAATTACTTGAACCAATCTTTCAAGAAAAATTAAGTAAGACATTATATATACTTTCAAATAATAAAGCTCTAGATAAATTATAAATTAACCATAAAATATTAAAAAATTAAGTTAGAAAAAAAAGAAATTCCTGAAAAAAATATTTAACAACTTTTTAAAATAGAAAGTTATTTCAATATATTAAAAACAAAGCTCTATATATTCAATAGCTAAACCAAAACCATATACTAGTTAAAAAATATTTATTCAACATAATGCTACTTATATAATATTTATTAAAAAAATAAATAATTCAGTATATTAATGACTTAAATAAATCATTAATCAATTTCTACTATATACTGTAATTCAGTATAAATAAATAATTAATTAATTTCTACTATATAATTCAATATAAATAAATTATCAATCAATTTTTACTATATAATTCAACATTATTTGTCATATAATTTGTACCATTTTTACTACATATTTCATTAAAAAAATTTTCAAAAAATTATTAGACATTTGTTAAAATTTACACATTTGTCAAATTTTTAATTATATCACTAGTCGAAATTATATCATTCAGCTGCCAAATCATTGTCGAATTTGAAAAAAATTAATAATAAAAAGATTGATGAATTATTTATAATTTCTGTCATTCGTCATTAAAAATATCAGCATTTTGCAAAAAAAAAAATTTAGTATAAAATCTGATAATATTGTGATAAAAAAAAATTTTTGTATATTATAGTAAAAAAAATTTTTGCATACTGTAATAAAAAATTTGACAAAAAAATTACTGTGGCAAAAAATTTGATAAAAAAAAAACTATGAAAAAAAATTCAGCAAAAATTGATACTGCGATAAAAAATTTGACAAAAAAATTATTGCAGTAAAAAATTCAAATTTTAT